CACTCCAGCCCACCAGAACACCTCGGACAAGGACCTGCGGAGAATGATGGCTAGACAATCAGCCACAAAAGACCTGCCGGCCTTCAACGGTGATCCGACAGCATGGCCGATGTTCAACCGGACGTTTACGGCCTCTACTGCAGAGTGTGGTTTCTCCAACCAGGAGAACATGACCCGTCTGCAGAGAGCCTTGAAGGGAAAGGCTTTGGACAGTGTGAAGTCAATGCTCGTCGTACCGGACAACATTGATCGAGTGATGCACACTCTCCAGATGCGGTTCGGCCAGCCGGACCATGTGGTCCAGTCCATGATTGCCCAGGTCAAGACCATGCCTAAGTTGCGAGACGACGACTTCGAGCAGCTTATTGACTTGGCGAACTCGGTTAGCAACTTGGTGTCGACCATGGAGCTCCTCAAGAGCACAGGCCACTTAGCTAACCCGCAGCTCCGCCAGGAGATCGTGCAGAAACTACCGAGCAGCTTGACCCGTCAATGGGGAGAGCACGTAGCAGAGTGCAAAGATCCAGTGACGATGAAAACACTGGCAGAGTGGCTCGCAAAGAGAGCAGATGCGCTCTGTTGTGTTCGGAGAATCGACACGACGGCGGCAAAGTGTGTGCCAACAGGCAGCAATATGAAGCCGCCACCGACTGCTCGACAGAGCGGCCAGCGGCAGACTGCCTTCGTGGCCAGCGAGAGAAAGTGCGACTTCTGCGGACGGGCAGGCCACAAGGTGGCTGAGTGCCGAGAATTCGCACGCAAGACGAGCAACGAACGCTGGAGATGGGTCAAGACAGAACGACGATGCTTCACCTGCCTTGGCCAGGGCCACCGCACTAGAGAGTGCCCTGACAGCACACCCTGTAAGAAGGATGGCTGTGACCGGCTTCACCATCCGATGCTGCACCCACCAAAGAGGAAGGACGATGTCGAACGCACGAACCTAGCTAGCGCCCAGCAGCAAAGCAGAGTCGTTCTGAGGACAGTGCCGGTAGCAATCCGCGGACCGAAAGGTGTGGTGAACACGGCAGCACTACTGGATGAAGCATCAACGGTCACCCTGCTGGATTCAGACATCGCGAAGCAGGTGGGCGCAGAAGGGCCATGTATGCCATTGACGCCAGCATGGACGAACGATATGTGCCAGCAAGATCCTGACTCCAGGGAGGTCATGATCACCGTGAGCGGTCAGGACGGAGACCTCCAGCTGTCGGCCCGGACTGTGCGTGAGCTGCACCTACCAGCCCAGCATGTCGACATCAACCATCAGCGACAGCGTTGGCAACACGTGAGCAGCGCAGACATCCCGCTCATCGCGACAAAGAAGCCGCGCTTGCTGATTGGCCAGGACAACTGCCATGTTATCTTGCCCAGGGAGACGATCGAGGGCCCACCCAACGCACCCACACTGAGCCGGTGCAAGCTGGGGTGGTCGATACACGGCCAACTCGGTGGCGCTGATCAGGTACTGCATGCCCGACTTGACACAGCGGAAGAAGGCAGTGCCGAGGACACGGATATCGGTCTCCACCAACAGGTGAAGCACTACTTCACCACAGAATCGTTCGGTGTACAAGTCCGCAGCGAGAAAATACGCTCGCGGCAGGAAGCGAAGGCGGAAAGGATCCTGGAATCCACCACGAGACGTATCGGGGAACGATGGGAGACCGGCTTGCTGTGGCGAGACGCTGACGTAAGCCTACCGGAGAGTAAAACGTCAGCAATGCGCCGCCTCCTGTCCATTGAACGCAAGATGGACAGGAACCCTGCATTCTCTGAAGCGTACTGCGCCAAGATTGCACAGTATATTGACGACGGATACGCCACCAAGCTCACACACCCCCAGCTCCAGATGCCTTCTCAGAGAGCGTGGTACCTGCCACATTTTGGAGTGACAAACCCCAACAAGCCAGGCAAGCTGCGCCTAGTATTTGATGCAGCTGCGCCAAGCCACGGGGTCAGCCTCAACGATGCCCTGCTGCCAGGCCCCGACTATCTCAACCCTCTCACCAGTGTGCTGTTCAAGTTCAGACAACACCGCGTGGGGTTCGGAGGGGATATCCGACAGATGTTTCACCAAGTGCACATCCGACCTGACGATCAGCCTGCACAGCGGTTCCTTTGGCGAGGCAGTGACAGAGACCGTGAACCTGATGTCTACCAGATGAGAGCCATGACATTCGGCGCTGTATGTTCGCCAGCATCAGCCCAGTATGTAATGCGAAGAAATGCAGACGAATTCCGGCACAGCGCGCCAGATGCGGTTACTGCAATCCATGACAAGCACTACATGGACGACTACTTCGACTCGACGCCGACGGCAGAAGAAGCAGCCCAACGGATCAAGGAAGTGAGTCAAATCCAGGAAGCCGGAGGCTTCTCCATCAGAGGCTGGGTCAGCAACTCACCTGATGCTCTTGCTGCCGTACCCCCAGATATATGCTCACCATCGGTAGTCACTATTAGCAGCGACAACGAGACTGTAGTGGAGAAGACACTCGGTCTGAAGTGGTTGCCACGAGAAGACGCGTTCGGCTTTAGTCTGAGCCGTAGACTTGAGCAAAGCAACACAACAGAAGTGACAAAACGTGAAGTCCTACGCAAGCTGATGTCTGTGTTCGACCCCCTTGGTTTCTTCACCTACTACACCACGTCGGCTCGCATTCTGCTACAAGACATTTGGCGCACAGGCGTCGGATGGGACGAGCCACTACCAGGATCTCTCGTCCAAAGATGGACGGACTGGTGGACGGGAGTGCACAACCTCGGAAGCAGGTCAATTCCGCGTTGCTACTGCACGGCTATTGCGGACAGAAAGGACCTGGAGCTTCATGTGTTCGGAGACGGCAGTGAGTCGGCATTCGCCGCAGCAGCCTACTTCAGGCTATCGCTGCCTGACGACAGCACCAGAGTCGCATTCGTGTTTGGCAAGTCCCGAGTTGCACCGCTGAAACCCATATCCATACCGCGGCTGGAGCTGCAAGCTGCACTGATGGCCAGCAGAATGGCCGACACCGTCCGGAAAGAGCATGATCTACCTATCGACCGCATCGTGCTCTGGAGTGACTCTATGACTGTCCTACGATGGATCCGAGCAGACGCCCGTCGATTCAAGCCATTCGTAGCACATCGTATCGGAGAGATTGAGGAGCTCACTGATGTATCGCAATGGCGGTGGGTCCCGACACACAGCAACCCAGCAGATGCAGCAACCAGAGCCCCATCCGAGACATCAGCAGCGCAGCACATCTGGACGCATGGTCCTGAGTTTCTGACCAAGCCAGAGTCTGAGTGGCCAGTAGAGAATCCTGGGCGAGACACTACCACCAGCGATGACCAAGCCGAGATGAAGGCAGAGTTTACTGCGGTAGTCACCAAAGAAGCGCAGTTAGCCCTGCCAGATATCAGCCGCTTCTCATCCTGGATTCGGCTGATGAGAACGACAGCATGGATCGTCAGATACGTCAACAACCTGCGTGCGAAAGCGTCAAGCAAGCCCACAGTCACTTGCTCTGAGTTGCTGCCATCGGAGTACCAGCAGGCCCAGAAGCTGTGGTGGAAGAAAGCACAGCAAGACAGCTTCCGGGAGGAAATTGGCGACCTGCAGAAGCACAGCAATGTGAGCAGCAGCAGCAAACTTCGAGACCTCTCACCTGTGCTAGATAGCGACGGTGTGGTGAGAATGCATGGCCGAATTCGAAGTGCACCACCCGGAAGTCCACTGACGCCCGAGCCCGTCATCCTGGACCCGTCGCACCCATTCACACAGATGCTCCTTCAGCAGTACCATGTCTGGCATGGACACCATGGTCAGGACAGTGTGGCAAACGACGTCCGCCAGACGTATTGGGTCTTGAAACTACGCACAGCCGTCCGTACCTGGACCGTATGCCAGCAGTGTAAAAATGAACGCGCGCAGCCAACACCACCTCAGATGGGACAGATTCCCGACGCACGCGTTGCCACGTTCATCCGCCCGCTCACACATGTGTCCTCTGACCCAACTGACGACAACAGCCTGACGCCGAACCACTTCCTCCTAGGGACGCCATCAGCAGCACCAGTGCCCGGAGTATTCAGTGGTGATGACCTACATCTGCGCCGGCAGTGGCGCATCGTGCAAGTGCTAGCAGACCATTTCTGGCGCCGCTGGATTAAGGAATACTTGCCAACGCTAGCCCGGCGAACCAAATGGCACGGAAGAACAGAGAAGAAGGTGGAAGTAGGTGATGTGGTGGTCATCGCCGACGACAACGCAGTGAGGAACACATGGCCGAAGGGGATAGTGACGGTGACCTATCCCGGCAGAGACGGCCTGGTGCGGGTAGCAGATGTCAAGACCCAGACTGGTGTGTTCCGCCGGCCAGTAGCCAAGGTCTGCGTGCTAGATGTCCGTTGTGTTAGTGACGGATAAATCGTCACTGGGGAGAGGATGTTGCCCCCGTAGGCGACGTTGGCGACAAGCAACACCCGTCGTATGCAACTTACTTTGTATCCACTGCTACACTTTCTGTAGTCTGGGCTTCATGTATGACTAACACTGCTATTGATGTATTGACTTTCAGTCGGCTCCAGTTACAACTGCCGGTACACATAATACATGAACTGTCTGACCCCTTTCATGCATTCGTATGCAGCTGTCACCTAACACCGGCACCGCTTTTGTCATCTACTTGTACTAGTATGTATCATTTGCCGCTACGCTAGGATCGGGATTGTAGTCCGTGATCCGTAGGCGTAGAGGGGGCTTGTTTTCCTTGGTGTGTGAGAGAGTTTTAGGTTCCTGCTTGGGTGGTGCAGGTCACTAGTTTTTGGTCATTCTTGTTTGGTAGGAGTTAGCTGTTTGGCATGAGAATGAAAGAGTAATAATACAGTCTTCTAATAATAAAGTAACGACGTTACGTTTGTGGAATGGTGAATCAAGACGAGAGGTAAAAACAGTACGGATTGTCTGCAGAACGTGCAATAATATGTGTACAAAGTTCGCGTCGTATAACCTACAGACAGGAGACCACCTCCACAATGCGACCACGCAAGGACGAGATGGTGGGGCGCTCTGGCGGTACGTTACGGTACATGTAAATACGAAGGAACCACATGCGCAGCAAGGAGATTAGTCATTACTTTACTTATGAGTTGATGGATAGAAGTTTCCTTTCAGCTGACCATTACCACTCATGAAAGCAATAGTGAGTGCTGTTGTTCTGATTCACAGGTATATATTCGGCCCTTAGCGCAATGTGTTTTCGAAGCTAGGCACACGATTTGCATGAGGAAATCATGCAAAGATGTGGCATAAGGCCCTACAAACATGACCTAGGTAAAGGGATGCCATTATTTGCATTTGCAGTACTTTGGCATGGGAAAATTTGTGGATGATTGTGTTGATCAATTTCACATAATTTCACGACAGGTCATAGTTTATTTAGTGGGGTGTTGTGGGCCAAGGATCTACGACCATCTCTTTTGCATTTCGAACAAGTAGACACTTTCAACAATTCATACTCCATCATTCACCCCAGTGTCTGGAGATATGTGGATTTTGTAGAAAAAAAAAAGAAAAAAAATACAGAAAATGCCTTCAGTGCAAAACATACCGTTCGGACACACCAGGCAGTCCTTTCCAGCCTTGATTTTCAAGTGCAGACGTATCCACGATGACCTTCGAGTGAACTGCGGCTTGGAACACTTTGAATACGAACCACACACTCAAACTAACTAGACCACCGCATAGCTAGTGTATTCACGGAGCCAAAGAAGTCTCCTTCTGCCCCCACAGGGTCTTGGTTAGTTCTCTAGAAGGGACGAGAGCCATACCTAAATTCAATAAATTCTCCAATTCCAAAAGCCTCAAATGAAGGCGTCTTGGTGACTTCGTTTCCCGCGGTTGCAAATAAAATCAGCCCTTGAGTACCCCTTGGCGCACGGACTGTGTATGCGGGATAGTTCTGCGTGTATTCTGACAAAGGAGTAGGTATTTTACCACTCAATGCAAGGGGCATGCCCCGTGCAAGAGGATGCTCAAAGGACCAGTTTTTGATGTTGGTGTGAGCCACATTAAAGGGGTGCATATGTGTGACCATTGTGTGCTGTGCTCTTTGCACTGTGTCTAGACTGCACCGCAGACTTGCTGAAGTGTGGACAAAGCCAAACTCACCCAGGACAATGCGTTCACGAAAAGAACTGGTGTAATGATGTGGTGGATTGTGACAATGGCGTTGACGAGGACTTTTGTAGTAAGCTTGATCTATTGATCTATTTTTGTAGTAACTTAAGCTTGATCTATTGATGGGAGGGGGGGGGAGGGTATCCCTCACTCAACCTGTGAAATGTTCGTTTTATGCGGTAAGGCCGCCATCACACTACGTTCTCTGACTCCCGTTTACGTCTACGTCAACGGTGAAAATCCAAAATGGGTGGTCGCATCATCACACAGGCACAGTTCTTGACCCGTACACGCGGTCACGTTCTTGGAGAAATTATGAAAATGAAAATGCACGTGCAAGGTCGCTCGGGAAAAAGACTGGAAGAGATACGCACATTCACCCGTTTTAGTTCAGAATACCGTATTTCCGCAAATAAAAGGCCGTCCTCGTGTACAACGCCTTCCTCGTATACAAGGCCGGGGCAGGGGGCGATTGAAAAAATAAAAGACCGTCTCCGATTAGAAGACCGGGCCTACTAAATGAGTCTTTGTTCTTGTGTTAAAAATAGAAGACCATGCTCAAACTGTGGGAAAAAATAGAAGAATGGGGGTAAAACTGTGTGGCGAGAAATAGAAGAACGGGGTCAAACTGGGTTGAAAGAATAAAAGACCGTCCTCGAATACAAGACCGTCCTCGATTATAAGGCCGGGTTAGGACGAGGTTGAAAAAATAGTAGACCGGCCTACTATTTGTGGAAATACGGTAGTTGTATACCCACCCCCCCCCCCCCCCCCACGTCTACGTTTCCCGTTTCCTCTGCTCCCGTTTTCACCCCGCACATGGATCACCATGACAACCGACCATGGACGTAGACGCAGCACTTTGCACCGTATTAAAAGACAAAACAAAAATTAAAAATTTAGAATTATTGCTTGGAAAAGAAGAAAAAGACAAATTCAACCGCAGTGAACAGGATTCGAACCTGTGCGGGCAGAGCCCAATTGATTTCTAGTCAATCGCCTTAACCACTCGGCCACCACTGCTTGCACACCTTGTAACGAAAAGCACCCCTTGACCAAACATAGCCAGAGTGTCTAGTCCGGTAGCCACACAACCACACAATGTGGGGCTACTCAAATTAGTATGTCAGAATGACAAGCATGTAGACCACGTGCAGATAGTAAAGAACTTTCTTTATAGGGTGTACAAAGAAATCACTGGTTTTATCAACCAAGTGTGATTTCAGCATCTGTAGGACATTCATGATGCGCACTGTCCACATATGCTTGAATTAAAACTGTTTCTATACAGTGTATGAGCTGCCAGTACACACTGTTGGATAGCCATCTTGCCGGATAACTATGTGTAACTGTCGGAGAAGCGACATGTAATTGTACATTGATACGTGTATTACTAGCATGATGTTGGTCATGCTATACAGGTATGTGACTACGTGCAGGAATGTGCACCGAAAAAGCGAACAATTCTCATTAGGCCACACGTTTTTATTTCTATGTTTCTCGTTACCCGCACGCATACGATTCAGCAGTTTGGAAGAAAAAAAGAAGAAGAAAAAACCGTGCAGCATTGTGGGGACCATGTACCAGCATATGCTGGCCTGCGCGGCACTGTTCATGATGCGAGGTCGGCAGTTTTTCTTGCGCAAACTAGCTGCACATGCACAGAACAGAAGCTCCTACCACGTAGGTCTACATTGTAGGTCTACTACATTTTTGTAGTTGCTTACCAAAATTACTTTGGATGCTATTTTACACGGTGTATTGACTATTGGTCGGCTTGATGTTGAACGTGAAAAAGACAAAGATTATGGTGGTCAATGATGATACGGGAGATCCTTTCACCTGCAATGGGGAAGGCTGAGTGGTTGAGGCAGTGGAAAGCTTCACATACCTGGGAGCACAGTTCGACATCTCCAGCAGGACAACAGCAGAGCTGAGACGTCGTTTGACCCTGGCAAGACAGACCGTTAGCAGGCTGATACCCACTTGGAAATACAAAAAATATCGAAAGGCATGAAGTTATGACTGCTGCAGGCAACCATTGCCAGTTACGGCTCGGAGGCATGGGCACTAACAAAGAGAGAGGAATACATTGTGCAGGCGTTTTAAATGTGGTGTTATCGGCGGCTACTGAGAGTAAAATGGATTGAAAAGAGAACAAACAAGGATATCCTGGAGGAATTGGGCATGGAGAGACCAGTGTTAGCGGATAGAATCTACAGCAGGAGACTCCGGCATTGTGGACATACCGCAAGAAAATGTAGCCTGGACTGAACGATCTGGTGGATTGCGTGGTGCCGGCAACAAGGAAGAGAGGACGACCAGCTGTCAAATGGACGGACAGCGTAAAGAAAGCTTAACATTCTACTCCCCATGCTAGAGTATAGAGTAGACACAGACGCGTGCAGGACGCGACACACCAAAAGACAAGAGAGAGAGTTTGGAAGAATGGGAATGTCGGGCAGAGTAGCTGGCCTCAATTGAGTGCGCGTTAACGAATCGTGTGGTCGGCCTGCCGAGGGCAGGAGCTGTATCTGACCAAGTGGGTCGGCCTGCACTGAGCAGGAGCGGTTTGTGACCCATGCGAGTTGGTGAGTCGGCCTGCGTTGAGCAGGAGCGGTTTATGACCCATGCGAGTTTAATAGTAGTGCGCGAGAGGCCAGTTACGGAGGAGTGCCCATGCCGACATTCCCATTAGGGTCAGAGGAGATAGCGGGTGATAACAACCAATATAGATGGTAAGTATGTATTGCACAAGAGCGTTGTTCTAGAGGCATAAAGACAGACTGATATTGTGGAGTAGGATCGACAGAGAACGCTTTCTGCATCCTAAGTGAATGTCTTTGCACTTACTCAGTGATCGGCTGGACCATGGTGTCAGGCCGCTTCGCAGCTGTAGGAGCAAAGGTCCTGAAGGCATCCATCTTGTTCCAGGACAGGGCATCAGCGATGGTATTAGAAATTCCTGGCAGTGCGGTGTTAGGATCAGGAAATTGTGTTTCACACAGATTGAGTACAGGGTGCAGATGAGTGCCATGACTGCAGGAGACCGGCTCGTGCCCGTCTTCAGGCACTCCACGACAACTTGGTTGTCGCTCTGAAACTCCACACGCAGCCGCAGCCACTCAATCCCCCATGTGGCGCAGCCCGCGACAATGGCGAAGAGCTCCTTGTAGGTAATGCTTAGTTCCAGTTGCTGCGGGGACCAGTCACCTCTGAACCAGCGACCATTGAAGAAGGCTCCAAATCCGATGGTGCCACTTGCGTCGGCTCGCAACTGGAGGTCAGCGCTCGGCATCCACTTCTCCAGCAGGAAAAATGACTTTCCGTTCCATGTTGACAGAGTCTGGTGCCACCACCTCAGGTCGCCCTTGGCTGAGGCTGAGAGGTGCAGCATTCGGTGAGATGACATCTCAGATGTGGCCTTGTTGAGGTCATACAGGCGGCGTAAGAATGTACGGGCGGCCGGAATTGCTCTGGAAGCGAACGAGAGGTGGCCCAGGAGTGAGGCGAGTTCGCGTTTGAGAACGCAACCCTTGCTCGGTCAAATAGGAAGAAACATACTGCATATTACGGATGGCCGACAGGTGATTGAGAGAACTATGTACACCAGATATAGCAGCAGAATGGCTTATCGGGAAACCGTGACACAACCCATGCAACACAAAGTGAGAGAAGGAGTGATCAGAATGACGGTTAAGGAGCCCGGCTAATCTGATAACATTGATGGGGGTCTCCACAGAATGTTTACGGAGCAGACGCTGAGGTGGCGGACTGTCCCCTGCCACATTTGACTTCTGGGGGCTTCCCGCGGTATTGAAGGCACACATGGGCACGATCGCAGAATGAGTTGTTGCACTGGTCCCTGTTGAAGTTGCGGCAGAAAGGTTTCCCAAGATGGGTTGGCGCGCTGGACTGCGGCGGACCTCCACTCCCAGCGCCGTCGGATGGAGGCCCTGGTCTAAAGGGACACCGGGCCTGAGCCACTGGGTGCACCAGAGAACAGCGCGAACATGGCGGGCGACCACGGCTGGTGAATGACGACTGCCACAAATTAGAGTCGATGATAGCCCAATCGTACGACAGTGGTTGGGAGGCTATGGCGCGCCGGAAACGCCTGTCATAACTTAGCCATGCGTCCACGTGATACGAGTTATTTGCATCCAGAATAGTGGCCTGATATGCCAGCAAATCATTTGCCCTATCTGGAGCCGCCGCGACAATTACTCTCGTGTAGACAGTAAATGCGTCGAGCAATGACGCTACATCGTGGACATGGCGGCGCTGGGCCTGAGTTGGCTTCTGTACAAGTTGGACAGAGCGGTTGGCCCCCACAGCTAGCTGGACCACATCGGGCTCCACACCCAGCTGTTCCGGGAGGAGGTCGTTGAAATCAATAAACTCGCCGCGTTCAATTCGCCCACGGAGTTTATCAGGTACAGAGAGCGACGAACGAGCACCCGGCTGGTGGCCCAATGCATGAATGGAGCTGGAGTTGACAGGTGGTACGACGGCTGCAGCAGGTTCCAACTGCTCTACTCGCTCCATCAGGGGCTTGAGGACCTGGCCGACGGCCTGAGAAACAGCCGAAGCAAGTACATCAGGGGCCACACTCAAGGCGGCGGCAGAAGAAGCTGACGGCGCAACGTCGGAGGCAACAGAGGCCGTGGAGGAAGATAATGGAGTCCAGGTTGGTTGACGACGAACAGGAGTTGGCCTCGCACGCGCATTACTGCCTGCAGCCGAAGTTTGAGTTGCCGCCCCAGGATCAGGGGCCACATTCAAGGCGGCGGCAGAAGAAACTGACGGCGCAACGTCGGAGACAACAGAATCCGAGTGGGGAGGTATCGGAGTTCTGGGCAGTTGAAGACGAACAGGATTTCGCCGCACACGCACATTACGTCCTGTATCCGAAGGTTGAGCTGCCACTCTGGCCGATGGCGTCTTTTGTCTGGTCGAGAAACGAGCCATCGTGAGAATATAATACTCAAATAATCTCTGGCCGCTGAAGACACGTAGTCTGACGGGACTGAGCTGAGAGAGAACAAGGAAAGCGAATACTAAAGACGGCAAGACGGCAGCGAATCGGCAGAACTAGGACTGACACTCTGAAGCAGGACGGAGGCAAACTCAAATTCAGAATTTGAAAGCTGACTGGACCTCAGAATTTGAAAGCTGACTGCAGGCAAGGAAACTGGAAAGACAGCTAGCTCTGTTGTGCGCACAGGAAATCTGCGCATGCGCAGAGCGTGGGCATGTGATGTCTATGATACACAGCAGTATGTTGAGAGAGCAAGATCGTGCACACGCGTAAGGAGGGTTATGCAACCCGTTATAAAGGCCAACAGCGAAGCAATGGTACGTGACTGTTAACAACGGTTAACTCCTACGTTAACCGAACATTTAGTATGACCAAAGGTCTAGTAGACTTTTTATTTTTTGGTCATTTATTATTTTTTCCACCTCTCGCATACGGTTTTAGATTTTCGCGTGACGAGAAACATAGAAATAAAAATATGCGGCCTTATAGTTTATGCACGTAAAATGTGTGTGCATGTGTGTGTGTGTGTGTGTGTGTGTGTGTGTGTGTGTGTGTGTGTGTGTGTGTGTGTGTGTGTGTGTGTGTGTGTGTGTGTGTCCTGCAGTTCATGGCCCTGAGGGGAACACAGGGCACTTGTACTGCTATCTTCCGCGGAACTTCCGATGTGCAAAGCGCGATATCGGCCTATTCAATAACTGTGTCTTTCCCTCACAAGAATGTGATGGTGTGGTGGACTGCACTGATGGCACAGACGAGCTGCCATGGCTGTGCAATAGTTCACGTAAGACGTCCGTGATATTCTGTAAATGCACCGCCAGCAGTATTGTTACCATGGTGATAGTGGTGGTAGAATCTAGTGAGTGTGTTGCAGAGCAGTCTCTCTTGTACAGCCCTCAGTGTGCTGTGTCAAGTCTTGTCTATTCATGTAAGATAGGTCCTTAGCCCATCTAACTGGTCACGGTCTGAGCCCAGCCTCATATCATTATTAAAATTAGGCTTGGAAAGGCCTTGTCCACATGCTACCCGACTTAGTCGTTCTCTCTCTCTCTCTCACACACACACACACTCTCTCTTTCTCTCTTTCTCTCTCTCTCTCTTTCTCTCTCCCTCTCTCTCTCTCTCTCTCTCTCTCTCTCTCTCTCTCTCTCTTGTCCTTACTGGTGTAATGTTACAGTCCGGACCACGACACCACCAAGCACAACAGCTGCGCCTATCTGCAATGGCTTCAGATGCCAGAATGGTCGATGTCTTAGTGCAGCGAGTGAATGCAATAATGTAGACGACTGTGGAGACAGCTCAGATGAACTGAACTCACTGTGCAGTAAGCTATGCCTTGGAGAGTCTGTTCATACAATTGTCTGCACTTTTGTTGTAACTTGCAGTAGTATGAGAAATAGACTCTCCCCCCCCCCCCCCCATATACATAAAACTGCAGCTAGCATTCTTATGTCAACTTTTAAACTAAGTTATGTGTTTCCTGGTTCTGGTTGCTGAGTCGAATGGTGTCTCCTTTCGCCCTATACTGTATTCCAAATTGAACTTACGGAAGCAAGGGAGCTCATGACTGGTTGCTTAACTCTCTAACTGGCCCCAACCATAGTCTTACCATAACCCTAACCTTGAAACTCCCACCACAACCTTTTCAAAGTGCCCATGCATAGTTAGGAATGTCGCCATAGTAACCTGCAACACAACTCGATCTTCTAAACTCACATGTTACCATGGTAACCACCAGCAGGTAACAACAGCTGAAGGCAGAGCAACCTCTTCTGCTGGGAAAGGGAAAGTCGTCCGGGAGAATAAAATCCTGTGCTTTCTGTATTCATGCTGTCAACTCAGATCTCTTCCTCTTGTCATCTTTACCGAACATACCTGCCTTGTTTCATGTTTCTTTTCCTTTTTTGATCAGTGTTTCAGTAGTGATTGTGACCGGATGTATGTCACATTGATCATGAATATGTTGTACAGATCTGACCAGATTGGCCCATTTGCAAAAGTTTCTGGTCTGCACGCTTTCAAACCTGTTCAAGCGACCGCCTGGTTGGAGCAACCATCTTGTCTATTTAATCAATAGTCTATGCATGCAGAATCTGTAATGGTTATATTGGTTTCAAAGACAGCCAGCGGTTTAAAAAGCCAAACACAGGTGATCCTTGAAATGGACATAAAAAAGTCTGTGATAGGCCAGTCACATAGATGGTGGCTGAAACTCACTTTCGCCTCAACTCTGTTTGTTTGCTTTCATCGTCTTGCTCACAGATCTCCCTTTATTTCCCGTTACAGATGACACGAGTGGTTAGTGTTTCTTTGTAGAAATTTGCTTTTGTGCGACTTCTTTTTAAACTGGTTGTGCTATAAACCCAATTGAATAGCAGTGTTTTTCCTCACAAGAATTTGATGGTGTGGCGAACTGCACTGGTGACACAGATAAGTAGCCATGGCGACGCATACGTCACGTAAGACATTCGTAATATTCTGTGACTGCACCGAGTGCCTTATTCGTTCGCTTCATACTTGCAGTTGCTGTCTTTGATACTTTTTTCTTATTCCCCGCATCAACCCATTAATTAAAAGAGAAGGAAACAAAAATGTTCCGTTCAAAAATTGTTGTTATTTTCTAGACTGGTGTGGATTGTATTGATGCATACATACACTGTACTCAAATTTGGATCAGCCTCCAATTTGTTCTACAAATATGCTCTGTATGATTGTGTTGTTTATTTATGGTCTTGCTCAGATCCCACCCCTGTTTCTATCGTTAGTGGCACAAGTGGTAAGTGGTCCTTTGAAGCAGACTTCTATGTGATGAGCACAACTGTGCTTTGATGTGGTGAAAAGAGAATTTGCAGTGTTCGCAAGTACTTTTTGGTTGATTTCATTCTGCCGCATACTTGCATTCTTTTTTTTTGCATCCTTTTCCTTGCTTGGAAGCGGAAGGATTTCTTCCAGCCGTGCTGCGACCCACAGTTAATTGGGAACTCGTGGCCTGTCACGAGGGAGACATGGATGCAGCAAATTGATATTTCGGTCTTTGAACACTTTGTGGTGGGTCTGATCTACTCGCCTCCCATCGCTTTAGGAGCTGCATCTGCGCCTTGATCCGCAGAAGGTGGTGGCTTCCCTACGGATGAGTTAACGCGAACCCGTGAACAATATTTTACAATATCCCTTCTCTCTCTCTCTCTCTCTCTCTCTCTCTCATCCCTACTGTTGTAATGTTACAGTCCGGACCACGACACCGCCTAGCACAACAGCTGTACCTATCTGCAACGGCTTCAGATGCCAGAATGGCCGATGTATTAGTGCAGCGAGTGAATGCAATGATGTAGACGACTGTGGAGACAGCTCAGATGAACAGAACTCACTGTGCAGTAAGCTATGCCTTGGAGAGTCTGTGCATACAATTGTCTGCACTTTTGTTGCAACTTGTAGTAGTGTGAGAAATAGACTCCCCCCCCCCCCCCTCCATACATAAAGCTGCGGCTAGCATTCTTATGTCAACTTTTAAACTAGTTATGTGTTTCCTGGTTCTGGTCCCTGAGTCGAATGGTGTCTCTTTTCATCCTATATTCCGAATTGAACTAACTGAAGCGAGGGAACTCATGACTGGTTGCTTAACTCTCTAACTGGCCCCAACCATAGTCTTACCATAACCCTAACCTTGAAACTCCCACCAAAACCTTTTCCGGCAAAGTGTCCATGCATGGTCAGCAATGTCGCCATAGTAACCTGCAACCCAACTCGATCTTCTAAACTCACATGTTATCATGGTAACCACCAGCAGGTAACAACAGCTGAAGGCAGAGCGACCTCTTCTGCTGGGAAAGGGAAAGTCGTCCGGGAGAATAAAATCCTGTGCTTTCTGCATTCATGCTGTCAACTCAGATCTCTTTCTCTTGTCATCTTTACCAAACATACCTCCTTGTTTATGGTCCTCTTGTTTTTAATCAGTGTTTCAGTAGTGTTTGTGACCGGATGTATGTCACATTGATCATGAATATGTTGTACAGATCTGACCAGATTGGCCCATTTGCAAAAGTTTCTGGTCTGCACGCTTTCAAACCTGTTCAAGCGACTGCCTGGTTGGAGCAACCATCTTGTCTATTTAACCAATAGTCTATGCATGCAGAATCTGTAATGGTTATTATTGGTTTCAAAGACAACCAGCGGTTAAAATGGACATAGAAAAGCCTGTGATAGGCCGGTCCCATGGATGGTGGCTGAAACTCACTTTCGCCTCTACTCTGTTTGTTTGCTTTCATCGTCTTACTCACAGATCTCCCTTTATTTCCCGTCACAGATGACACGAGTGGTTAGTGTTTCTTTGCAGAAATATGCTTTGGTGCGACTTCTTTTTAAACTGGTTTTGCTATAAACCCTCGTGAATAGCAGTATTTTTCCTTACAAGAATTTGATGGTGTGGCGAACTGCACTGGTGGCACAGATAAGCAGCCATGGCGACGCATACGTCACGTAAGACATTCGTAATATTCTGTGAATGCACCGAGTGCCTCAATCGTTCGCTTCATACTAGTAGTTGCTGTCTTTGACACTTTTTCTTATTCCCCGCATCAACCCATTAATTAAAAGAGAAGGAAACAAAAATGTTCCGTTCAAAAATTGTTGTTATTTTCTATACTGGAGTGGATTGTATTGATGCATACATACACTGTACTCAAATTTGGATCAGCCTCCAATTTGTTCTACAAATATGCTCTGTATGATTGTGTTGTTTATTTATGGTCTTGCTCAGGTCCCACCCCTGTTTCTATCGTTAATGGCACAAGTGGTAAGTGGTCCTTTGAAGCAGACTTCTACGTGATGAGTCAGGCCTGTAGCAGCCCCATTTTGGTTGGTCCGGCAAGATCCGACCTCGATGTTCCCTCCTTCCCCCCCCCCCCCCCCCCGTGTATGTACATGTAATCGTGGCCATGCAGAGTGACTATAATAATATTCACGGGATCCGCGTTAGCATCACTTGAATGTTCAGAAACACACACGCTATGTCTTCGAGTGACACAGGGCGAGAAAAGGAAGAAGGATGTTCTGCATGAGTCATATCAGGAAAAAGGGCATCAGCATGTTGTGTCCATCCAAACAGAACTTGTTGCAGCCTATGAAGGCATAGCAACAGTATCTAAATGCATGTGATAAAAGAGCTAAATGGACCTTTGGAGGAGGAGAAAGGCCATTGCAATGGAGGAATGGCAGGAGGTCATACAGTACAGGCCAACACCCACATAGTTCTATGCACATGACATGGTATTCGCCATTACCAAGAGTTATAATTATACTCTTGCTATTGCCATGTACTACCTCTACTTATACCTCACTACTTCTACCTATTATACACATCATGGGTGTTGCGAAACCACAAGTTCTCGAGAGTGAAAGGCCTTCTCGCTTGCGACATTGTGTTCGTTTCAATGCAGTTGTATCCCGACTCCGCCGTACCGCTGATGTTTACGACGTGGTATACGCTACAGGCGCTATGTGCGGTTTGCTGTGTGCGCTGTAGTTGTATGTTGTATGTGTATGCTTTTCCCATATACGCTGTCATTTTCACGCTATAACTACCTGGTGGTTTTAGTGTTAGTTATTCATTTCATTCATTGGTCATTATTATTAGTCGATGGAAGTGAACTATACTGTTGAGAATAAATAGTTGTCCTCGTGCCGTGTGGGGTCGTTCGTTCCTGACACTTTAGAGAACCAGAGGGTTCAAAACATTTGGCGACCACGCCAGGATACGAAGCGAGCATGGCACAGGAACTATGGATCATTGAAGCCAGCTTTATCGCTAGCGGAATTCGGTATGGATTTGAAGGCGATAGGTTGAGAGAATACGTGGAGAAGAGGCTCTGACAGAGCGAGGAGTTTGAAGAGCGCAGTGCTAGACGGCAAGAGGGTGCGCTCCGCACAGAGTTTGACGAAAAGCTCAAGACGATGAACGACCGCATCGCCAGCAGTACATATGAGGGGCGTGAAAAAAAAGGCGTGGAAGACTTTGCTTACAGACAAGCAGCGGTCAGAGGAGTATTCGAAGCCAGTGGGAGGATCAGATCCAAGGCCCACTGCGTCGGTGCAGTGCATAGCGACATCGGTCGGAGACGCTCAGAAGCAGCTGGAGTCTCGGCCGAAGGACTTAGAGGCGCAAGATGTAGAGGCGCAAGGCGTAGAGGCGCAAGACGTAGAAGCGCAAGACGTAGAAGCGCAAGACGTAGAAGCGCAAGACGTAGAAGTGCAAGACTTAGAAGCGCAAGGCGAAGCGGATAAGGAAATGAGAAGGGCGATACTGGTTAGCACGGAAGAGGTCAACGGCGAGACTGTGTGGACCACAGAGATCGCATGTGTGTCCTCGGGTTCCGCGCCCGCCCCGGGTCGAAGCAGTGTACTTGTGACCGTGTCGTGTGTGGTAGCCCACATCGGCGAGCTTGGTGAAATAATAGGTTGTGTGTTGTCTGGTCCAGCGTCCGCCCCATGTCGAAGTGGATCGATGACAGTGTCGTGTGCGACAGCCCACAGCGGCAAGCTTCGCGAAATCGAGTTGGCCGAAGTGGTGGGCATTAGTGATATTCTACCATGGCCACCACCGCAGCAGCAGATGACGTGTAGTAAGCCCCAAATCATTTGACTTGTGAGTTGTTGTACGGCGGTGAGAAGCCCTTTGGTGGGGAGAATGTTGTGAAACCACAAGTTCTCGAGAGTGAAAGGCCTTCTCGCTTGTGACATTGTGTTCGTTTCAATGCAGTTGTATCCCGACTTCGCCGTACCGCTGATGTTTACGACGTGGTATACGCTACAGGCGCTATGTGCGGTTTGCTGTGTGCGCTGTAGTTGTATGTTGTATGTGTATGCTTTTCCCATATACGCTGTCATTTTCACGCTATAACTACCTGGTGGTTTTAGTGTTAGTTATTCATTTCATTCATTGTTCATTATTATTAGTCGATGGAAGTGAACTATACTGTTGAGAATAAATAGTTATCCTCGTGCCGTGTGGGGTCGTTCGTTCCTGACACTTTAGAGAACCAGAGGGTTCACAACAATGGGTGGACATCCTGAGCTGCTCACATGTGTGAGTTCCTGTTTTTTTCTTTTTTTTCTTTTTTTTTGTGGCTGAATATTGGTCCGGCACCTGCCGGACCTGCCGGACCGCCTGCTACGGCCCTGTGAGTACAACTGTGCTTTGATGTGGTGAAAAGAGAATTTGCAGTTTTCAAAAGCACTTTTTGGCTGATTTCATTCTGCATCATACTTGCATTCTTTTTTTGCATCCCTTTTCCCATTTCCCTTAGATTGCATTGAGTCAAGATCCCACAGGGCTAGGTAATTCGCAGTCATGACGATTGCAATAATGGAATTCACATGTGCCCACGTGTGTTGAAGCGTAGCATATTGCACTGTTTGTTTTCATGGTCTTGCACAGATAGCACCCCGCAAACTGCTACTGCTGACAACACTCGTAAGTCAAGTGTCGGTTTTTCATTAAAAGGCTTGCTGAAACTCTGGAATTGTGCATGTGTGGTACAGTACAGTACATTTATTCATCTTCAACATACTCTGTTGTTTTGTTCGTTATTGTCTTGCTCAGATCCTGCTTCGGTTCCCATTTCTGGTGACAAGAATGGTAAGTGTTCCCTTCCAAGTTTTCTGACTAGATTTGCTCAAAGTGGTCATACCGACCATAGCACAGCTACAGTACATCCAAACTCAGTATTCATTCAGCTCAGAACTTTCAAACCCAGTGTAGGCCAATTTAAGGCTCAATTTGGATTCAGTTTTGGATTTTTAGTTGCGAATCCCCACGGCATTTGGTCATGTTTGAAAGGATCAAACCAATTGCTCTGGTTTATAAGAGATTGTGGTAGGGATTTTAACAATGATTACATAGGGAAAGCGCGAGCTCCGGTGCGGGGAGCAGACACTTTCCCAATGGTTTGTAAGGGAGGGCATGTGTTCATGGGCTTGAGAGAGATATCCCACCTCCAGCATGGTGTTTCAATTAAGACTGTGTATGATGAGTGGAACTGACTGCCCTATCCATCTCTGCAGCAGCAACATCCTATGTTTGTTAAAAAAAGGTCCATTCATTTGGTTTGATGTTTTCTGCCGCATGCCATTTGTGTACAGTTGTTAAGAGTTGCGAAGATCCTGGCCCCCCTGCCAATGGAAGTTACACAGTGCAGTTTGAAGATTTCATTGTGTACAGTTGCAATGCAGGGTGTGTGATGGTGGATCATCCCGCTGGTATTGCGGCAGCACAGTGTCTGGACAATAAGCAATGGTCACATCCGAAACCCACGTGTCACGGTAAGTGAACACTACCTGTGGTAAAGGCTGGTGCTGCCTGGGTCAGGGTTCTTTGTCTTGCTCGTAGTGGCGCCCCTCCCCCCCCCCCCCCCCCCGTAGGTTGCTTGAGCATATATCTGGCGAGTCTGCTTGGCAAAAAGACATACTTTCGCATGATGTTGTGGGATTGAGAGTGCAAACAATGTTGTTTTTGTTGATTCACATGACAGATATCGATGAATGTACAGTTGATAAAGGCATTTGCAAGAACGGCGTTAATGGACAATGCAACAATACACCTGGATCATATCAATGTGTTTGCAAGCCTGGTTTTGCAGGAACACCTTGTGCAGGTACGATTCTAGCATAATCATAGAGGTTATAGGAAACTTTAAATCTAGCCAAAGCACCCTTGGACACGAAACACTAGATTATTTTGAAAGCTGTACACCACCATAAACACAAACCTAACCTACTCACTCGCACAGATTTTTTTCTTTTTTTCTACAAAATCGACATATCTCCAGACACCAGGGTGAATAATGGAGTGTGGTGGTGGGGCCCGGCCCATTAATGATAGCTTGCATAGACTTCGGTCCGACCGGTAGGACCTACCGGTAAGACCATCATACACAGACATGCTGCATGGCCTCTATTCCAACATTGACCTAAAACTTGACCCTAAACTGTTGCTAAGGGGCTAATGAAGGAGTCGACAAAATTAATTTAGATGTGATCGCACAAGGCATACTACGAAATTTCATGGATACAGCACATGGTAACCATGGAAACGGAGTATGGAATTATACATTCCACTGCCTTGGCAGGCTAATATAAACAATAGGACCTAACCACGATTGATGTGCCATGGTCAAAAATCACTTTGGATAGAGTTGCTAGCCCTCCGAACAGTAGTATGTGTGGTCATTTTGATAATTGATAAAAGTGCAAATATGCAATGCACTGGACATAGCCTTGCATTTTGCATCATTACTTTGCCTTACAAAGACCTCATCTCAACAATTGTTTCAAGAAAATTTCTGAACCAAAAGCACTTTTGCAGCGTGATTTCTTGGGTCCTACCGGTAGGACGGCATATCATTAAGCTCAGCCGACCAGAGGTCTCGGCTTCATAGCTCGATGGCCACACCAGAGGTAGATTGAGTAGGGAGTATCCACGCGGCATAGCAAGACCGGCATCATCACCGCAGAGACCGAAGCACAATCAGCAGTCACCAGCACAGCCGAACAAGAAGAAAGCCAATCCATGACCAATGCCACAATCTAGAGGTAAAGTACCTTTGAGATCAGTCGTAGAACTCTGTAGCCAACACTGCAACAGCCCACATGTATGTTGGCGGGTAAGGTGTTTGTGGACGTCTTTCTTAAAAAAAAAGGTGTGGCGGCACTTGTGTGACCCAGAGCCACTGCATGTGCCACGGCCACTAGAGTATACGCAGCAGTTGAGCAAAATGAGCTTGTTTATGCTCGTACTACCCAATGACTATGAAACCGTCCCGGTTGACGGCTTTCACCAACAGCCACATCATCACATTTCCCGTGCTCTATCTTGTAGTCTTTTTACACTGTTCAATGTCTGATCCTAACTTTTGTTTATTTACACACTTTGCAACTGTTCTGGATACAAACCTTGTTTCGTTGCTTAGTGTATGTGCGGACATAATGGCATAAATAATTATTTTTATTGCATTTAAATGGTTGTCTCCTTGCCGCCTTTCTATTTACAATGTTTCTTTCCTTTTGTCCACATCTGATAGTGGAGAAGGTAGAAAGCACTAACTGACACAGTTATATAAGAAGTTGAAAGCCCATTTCCTCATGAATAGTGACAGTAAAACACAAGAAGCCGCCATGCATGGGGGTTCCCCGGAATACACCCTGCATGTACCGCACCTTAGAAATAGCAAGTGAGGCGACCTGTTGACCTTGGTAGAAGATGCGGTGTTCGGACACGTGACAGACAAACTGAGGGTCGCCTGAGTGCAGCCAGAGGCCCCATTTTAGTTGTTGCCAAGAGTGCTATCTTTTGCTGTGAATTCTGCACCTTGTCATTGTGTGATCAGTTGATCATGTGCCTAATGGCGCACTAGCCAGTGGCTAGAGCGTGTTAGCGCCGCATGAACACCTGCCAGCTGGCAGCTTGATTACACTAATCAATCACGCAGATTCACGTAGCTAATCAGTAATCTACAGCGCAGCTCCGAAACCGCGCCAAGAAAGGTTGCAGCTCACACCTCGTATTTCTTCCGCTCCAAACTTTTCCCACGTGCCTTGCTTTGAGTGTTGCCTTTGTGAAAGTAGAGTTCGCTGCTGTTGCCTGGCTTTCACAGTTTTGCTCCTTGCTTTTTCTTCCTCCAGTTTACCTGTCAAAACTGGATGTCAAGAGCGCCTTCAGGCAGATCCCAGTACGCATCGAAGATTTCCCGCTGCTTGGTATTTTTTGGCAAGGCCGTTACTATTATGAACAAGTGCTCCCTTTTGGTTTGCGCTCTAGTCCCTTCATTTTCAACACCGTTGCTGATGCTATTGAATGGATCATAAAGCATCATTTCTCCATAAGTGATCTTTTGCATTACTTAGATGACTTTCTGAACGCCGTTTCTAGTCTTTCTGTTGCTAACCGCCAGCTGGCTATCTTGCTCCGCGCATTCATGCTCTTAGGCGTACCCCTGGCCCCAGACAAGATAGAAGGCCCTGCTCAGTGTCTTACATTTCTTGGAATAGAGTTGGACTGCGTTTCCAAGCAAGCCCCATCCGACAAACTGACTGAGCTCAGATCTCTGCTTACTGCCACCCTCCAGCGTAACTCTATTTCTCAGCGCAGCCTCGAGTCCCTTTTGGGGAAGCTCTCCTTTGCAGCACGGGTGGTCACCCCAGGGCGCACATTTCTTCGACGGCTCTGGTCGGTGTGCAGCAGGTATCAAGAGCCCCACTACAAGATAGTACTGGACTCTGATGCTATGGAAGATATCAGGTGGTGGCAGCACCTGCTGCAACACTGGAACGGTAAATCGTTCTTCTTCAAGTGCACCCCAACTGGACTCCATCGCCAGATCTACAACTCTATACAGACGCAAGCGGTTCACGTGGCTGGGGAGCCTACAACAACGGCCGGTGGATCAACGGCGCTTGGACCCGAGAAGAAGTGGAGAGAGACATCACTTGGAAGGAGCTGTATGCCCTGCTAGTCGCTTGCGCCACTTGGGGCCATGCTTGGGCAAAGCTCCGTATCCTTATTCACTGCGACAATGCTGCAGTCGTGGACTGTGTAAAGTCGGGCAGTAGCAAATCAGCCCCAGTGATGCAACTACTCCGCGGACTTTTCTTTGTCTGCGCCAAACATAACTTTACCATTTCGGCCATCCATATTGCAGGGAACAAGAACCTGATTGCTGATTCTCTGTCACGCTTCTCTATGCAGGCATTTCGGCGGCTCGCTCCCAGCGCCAAGAACCTGCCGGACAACGTGATATGGCCCCAGTACATGGGGAAGTAAGCTACTACGCTGCATGCGCCACTGCCCCGAACACACGGCGCACTTATTCGACCGGTGAGAGCAGATATAGTGCTTACTGCCAGTTGTGCCTCTGGAAACCCTTCCCAGCTACTGACTATCAGCTAAGTTGCTTTGCCGCATTCCTCGCTCGCTCAGTAAGACCATGTACTATCTCTGTGTACCTCAGTGCGGTGCGCAACGCCCAAATTGAACAAGGCTTGGGTGATCCGCTGGAAGATGCCTGGCTGCTGAAACGAGTAGTAAAGGGCATTGGACGGTGCCATGGCACAGCTGTTATCACACCTCGCCTTCCTATTACCATGCCTGTGCTCCGCAAAATAGTGGATGCGTGCCAGTTGACGGAACTACTCAACCGACATGACCGTCTGCTGTACCAAGCATGTATGCTGCTTGCATTTTACGGCTTCCTTCGCTGTTCCGAGTTAACAGGGGAGACCCGGAGGACTGATGCTCGACTCGCAGACGGCAACATGCAGCTGTTCCTGCCAAAGTCAAAAACAGATCCACTGGGCAGTGGGGTCACAGTGTTCGTTGGCCGAGCCACGGAACCGTACTGCCCCGTAGCAGCGATGACAGCATACCTGCTCACTACCCGCCATCATCCATCCACTGGGCCACTGTTTGTGCTCTCAGATGGACAGAAGCTTACTCGTACGGCATTTACCACCACTGTACGTTCATTGCTGGCAGCATCTGGCGTGCCAAACCTGCACCTGTATTCCGGGCACTCGTTCCGCATTGGTGCTGCTACGACAGCCGCAATGGCCGGTGTGGCCGACTCTCTGATCCGCGCCGCTGGACGCTGGAAGAGTGATGTATGTTTGCGGTACATGCGTATGCCAGCATCCCTTAAGTACAGTGTGTCGTCACAGCTTGCAAAGGTTAGCCATTTGGTCTGAATTTTGGCCTAGCAATTCTGAATATTTACGTGGTGTGCTGGATTCGCAGATGTTCGCTCACAACTGGTTTGCCCTGTTTGCTTGCTTGCGACTCAGTTGCAGAGTCATTGCCTGTTCGTGACTCAGCAGAGTCTTTTCGCGTTGCGACTCATTTGCCGAGTCACGTGACATTGCACCAGTTGTTCGAATCCAGCACTCCACCTATCCAATTTAACTCAACCAGACTATTCTGTGTGTGCTCGTTCATGCGTGTGGGTCCGCATGCACGCGCATGGACATGTCCGGTTGTGTGAAGCACGGGCTAATGGCGCACTAGCCAGTGGCTAGAGCGTGTTAGCGCCGCATGAACACCTGCCAGCTGGCAGCTTGATTACACTAATCAATCACGCAGATTCACGTAGCTAATCAGTAATCTACAGCGCAGCTCCGAAACCGCGCCAAGAGAGGTTGCAGCTCACACCTCGTATTTCTTCCGCTCCAAACTTTTCCCACGTGCCTTGCTTTGAGTGTTGCCTTTGTGAAAGTAGAGTTCGCTGCTGTTGCCTGGCTTTCACAGTTTTGCTCCTTGCTTTTTCTTCCCCACCAACACCCACCCTATAGCTGTTGCTCTACGTTAACATGTTGCTATATTGTCTGCAGCCTATGTGGTCTGCACTTGCATCCGCTGTAACTTGCCATATTCAATTCTTTAAAAAAAACGAAAAAAAACATACAAGTAAAATAAAACATTGGGGAGTGCGGATGTTCGCTCACAACTGGTTTGCCCTGTTTGCTTGCTTGCGACTCAGTTGCAGAGTCATTGCCTGTTCGCGACTCAGCAGAGTCTTTTCGCGTTGCGACTCATTTGCCGAGTCACGTGACATTGCACCAGTTGTTCGAATCCAGCACTCCACCTATCCAATTTAACTCAACCAGACTATTCTGTGTGTGCTCGTTCATGCGTGTGGGTCCGCATGCACGCGCATGGACATGTCCGGTTGTGTGAAGCACGGGCTAAGCTGGCTTAGATCTTGCCAGTACACCATGTGCCTAAGCTGGCTTAGATCTTGCCAGTACATCATGTACCTAAGCTGGCTTAGATCTTGCCAGCACACCATGTGCCTAAGCTGGCTTAGATCTTGCCAGCACACCATGTGCCCTGCCAGTGCGGACAGTGTTTATGTTGGCCTATACATGTACATGTAGACCGTGGACGCTCTCTGGGTGTGTTTTGTTTTCTTGGCCTTGCTCAGTTCCCACCTCACTAACCGGTGTTAGGCCAAGATCTGACAAGAGCGTTAATGGTATGTACTGTGTATGTCATAGCCGGGAATTCTCTTCTATTGGGGTAAAGTAACCGTGATGGCGCTGGTGCTGCTGGTGCTGGTGGTGCTGCTGCTGGTGCTGGTGGTGCTGGTGGTGCTGGTGGTGCTGGTGCTGGTGGTGCTGGTGGTGGTTGTGGTGGTGGTGGTGGTGGTGGTGGTGGTGGTGGTGGTGGTGGTGGTAGTGGTGGTGGTGGAGACATGGGAGGCAGCCGGGAGGCCGAGGCAGCCTCATCTAGTGGTGGTACTGAGCAATGGCAGGCGGTGATGATATGTGTGATGCATGTGTTACTGTATGATGTATGGGCATGGTATGTGCACGTGTGTTTCTGTAATGATTATGAAAGAGTGCCATTCAGAATGTCAGGCCGAATGCGATAACCTTCATTGATGACATCTATGCGATCAAAACGACTGTATGGAGGAATTGATATCTACTCGTGATGTACCCTTAGGCCACCCTTTCTTTTTTCGTTGTTTAACGTCCGCGCCCGCGTACCTTTTTGCCTCCGACCGGAAAAAAAACAAGAAAGTAGTAGTACCAATAATATGCGAAGTTGTAAATACATGATTGTGTAGTTTCACAGTGTGCCGATCATGACCTTAAACTTATAATCTTGCCTCCCGGGCATGCCTTTGTCTTGTGTTCTTTTTCTTTTTTTGTTGGCTTTTAAATATCGTACGGTGTGTGTCCTAGTAAAAATCCAGATGTAATGAATTCATGACATGCTAACTCCATGCACCTGTTTTGTTGGATTCATCAGGCATGTGCTCCAATGTACCATCAAAGAGTGTTGTTCTATGCCTGCAAGTGCCGTTAGACCCAGAAATATTGCATATATCACATGCTTTACTGGTCAAAATGTTTGATTGGGGTTTCCAGTTTTTGGAATGGGCTTTTGTTTTTTTTCCGCCCTCCCGCGTACCTTTTCGCGAAAAAAAGGACGTTAAACAATGAATTAACAAAGGGTGGCCTTACGGACTGAAGGATAACTGCTGATCTTGCTTGCATGCATTGGTTTAATACTGATGACTGTGGTGTCATGTATTTAGAGTCTAGTGCACGGTATTGCTTTGTGGTACAAGTATTACATTGTTCATGATAGATAAGTAGATTGGGTTGCAAGGATAGCATGTTAGAAATAATTGATTGGAACATCTGGGCCGCTCAATTACGTTAAGAGCACACTCTCATCATTGTTAACTACATTGTTGATCATACTGGTCAGATCCTAGTGTTTACCTAGTCATGTAATTTCTCATGCTGCTGTGTTCAGCTGGTTGGACTACTCTAATAGTGCGGGCTTTTGCTGCGCAACTGGTATACCTCACAGTGTATTTAGAATAGTCTTCAATAATAATCTAGGTCAGTGAGTTTCACTACTTCCTAGAACCAGTACAAGAAACACCAGGTCCTGAGATTGTGCGGTGTGCGTGCGTGTACGTGCCGTAGAAGAGTCTGATGGTCTTTCCCCTTCAGCTCTTGGTGCCGAAACCCGGGATAGGCAGAACGTACTGCTGTGGGTTTTCCTAGAGAGAAGTCCGGTGAGGAGTATGGCGGCGAAGATTGAAGGGTTCTTGCGCCCCTACAGAGGGAAGGGCGACAGCTGGGAGGTGTTTTGGGCCAAGTTCGCGTTCTTGGCCACAAACCAGAAGTGGGACTCAGACGACAAGAAGATGGCGCAGCTTCCGCTCTACTTGGACGGCGATGCGTTTATGGTTTACAACGCCATGGACGACGCGGACCAAAAGAAACCGGACAAAGTAGAGAAAAGAATGAAAGAAGCGTTTTGCCTCACGAAGTCGCAGGCATACAAGCTGTTTGTTGCGCGCCGCTTGCAGCTGGATGAATCCCCAGATGGGTACATTGCCGACCTTCGGAGGCTAGCAGCGGTGGCAGGCCTTGGAAGAGGCGCGGATGCAGACAGCGGCTCGTAGAGCAAATCCTGAACGGCTTACCTTCATCCATGGCGCAGCAAGTGCGCCTTGCTCTGGTTGGAAAAGGCGACGACGTATCGTTGTGCCTGCAGTTGGTTCGAGCATTGCAGCAAACTGGAACTGAGGATGATGTTGTTTCAGCTGCAAGTGGCGCGAGTGGCCCCGGGCCGGCAGGCTCTGGTACGCGGAATGTGCTTTGCTTCCGTTGCAATAAGCTTGGCCACGTGCGGCGAAACTGCCCGGAGGCGAAGTCTGGCTACGATCGCGGTGCTTGGAGGAGCTCAGCGGCGGGGGGTACAAGTGGCGTGCGGCCTGGCCTCACTTGTTTCTTCTGCGACAAGCCTGGTCACTTGAAAGCAGACTGCGAAGAACGGAGGGCCTGGGAGGCCCAGAGGTCAAGCAAAGTCACCGGTCAGCCATCACCATCGGCAGCCTGCACGTCTTCCCCGCAGGAATGTTCCGTGGAACGAGGTGAGCCTGCGGAGGAGCGCTGACTGTACATGGGGCATGGGAGCGAGAAGTCAGGCCAGCTGGTAAAAATCTTCGTTGGTGTAAGTGCAGCGTCTGGTGACAACGCCGGCAAGGAATCGTCCATTGTGAGCGCACGTGCACGCGGACAAGCGGTTGTAGACACGGGCTCGACGAGGACGTTGATCAGCCGTGCATTCGCAGACCGCAGCAGCCTCACGTACGACGGCCCAGACACTCTCGAGACCAACCTTGTGGCTCTGGACGGCAATCGAATCGAAGTTCTGGGGCATCTAGAGGTCCTTCTAGAGCGAAACGACGGGCCTGTCAACCTTCCCAGAGTCAAGGTACGAGCGCTTGTAGTTGAAAGCCTAAGCACTGTCCGTGCTGACGTGCTGATTGGAGCGGATGTTGCTTCGCGGTGCGGTGGGTTGCAACTGAAGTATAGTAGTGATGGACAGCTTTGCGAAGTTGTGTTTGGAGCCGCAGCCAGCGACACTGTTGCAGCCACTGCCGATCGGCTGTCCCCGAAGGGGCAGGATGATGATGGTCGATCTGGCCATCCGTCGCGTCGGGTGAAAGTCAGCACCACTGACGAGGGCAAGGTTATGCTCAGTATTGCGGACGGCGACGTGACCTGGAGCCCTGCTGAGAAGCAATGGGAGTTGACCTGGAAGTGGCTCGATGATTAACCTCCTGCAATGCCGCTCGGCCCGGGTATCGGAGAGTACAGCAGGACGAACCTGACTCCGGAGCAAGAGCGCCTGTTTGTTAGTGAGGTGCAATCCTGGATAGACAACGGCTGGCTGATCAAGCACGACCCGAAGCTACATGGCGAGCCAGCATGTGTGCTGCCGCTCATCGGTGTTCCGCAAGAACACAAGACGACGCCGGTGAGGCCGTGCCTGGATTACCGTCACTTGAATAAAAAGCTCCACTCTGACCCTGGTTTTGACCCACCAGTCTGCGGTGACACGCTACGTCGATGGCGTCAGGCAGGAGAGGATTATGCTCTGCTCGACATTAGGAAGGCATACCTCCAGATCCGGGTTAGCCCGGCGCTGTACCGCTACCAAGTCGTGCTTTGGAAGGGAGAAGCTCACGTCATGACGAGAATGGGATTCGGGTTGGCGGTAGCGCCCAAATTTATGGATGCCGTTGTGAAGTACGTCACCCAGCCGTATCCTGGAGTTGATAACTACTATGACTGTAACAGGTTTAATCAAACTTGAAAAGTAAGAGGCCTGGTTGAGCGTGCCTCGACCAGTTATATGCAAAATGTGATAGTATACATGTGGCAATGGCGCCAATGAAGGTGCTAATAGACAGGCGTAAGACGCATGAGGTGCGAGGGAGTGTAAAGTTATAGAGAACAGGGGAAAACTGTTACATCATCCCCCTCCTATGGAGAGGAAGGAGCTTATAACCCAAATGCTCAAGTGGAATAGAGTACAATAAGCGCAAACACGTGCGAGACGAAAAAAGGCTTCGCACTGAAGTAACACAATAAGACGACTGAAACTCCATGCAAATAAAGTGTAATAAGCTCAACAAATGTGTAAGGTGAAACTAGAAGTTCAACTGCAAAACTCAGCGGGCAGAAGCCAAGGTTTTGTACTTCTGAAGTGGAACAATGTCATTACCAGATTCATCCAACAAATAATGTTCAGGCTCCCAAGTGGCATCAGAGTAGCCTTGCCACTTGACTAGGTACTGAAGCTGATTCTGCCGGCGGCGGTGACTGAGAATGTTCTCCACCACATAGCGGGCATGACCATCAAGGTCCGTGATAGGCGGAGGCGTAGGCTGTCTCCTATTAGGAATAGCGTTCTTCTCGTAAGCACGGAGTGCCGACACATTAAATACCGGGTGACAGCGGCTGGTATGAGGCAACTTGAGCTTGTAGGCATTCGGGCCGACCACATGGGTTATAGGAAAGGGGCCAAACCACTTGGGGCGTAATTTATGGGATGGTCGGTCCCGAGCTTCAGGAGTCAGGAGGAAATCCCGGTAGACCATTACCAAATCTCCCACCTTCAGCTTTCCCTCGACCCTTGTCCGATCTGCATAGAAGGCCTGACGAGCTTGAGCTGCCACTAGCGCATCTTGTGAGATCTTGACCGCGTCTTGTCTTGCTTGCAACCAATCAGCTGAATCTCTGCCTCCCTGAATAGGGTTGAGGAAGTCGGGTGGCGCTCTGGGATTTAGACCGTAATTTAAGAAGAACGGTGTGTTTCCTGTAGATGATTGAGTAGCGCTGTTGATAGAAAACTCACAGAGAGGTAGGAGCATATCCCAGTTATCTTGTTTATGATTTACAAAAGCCCTCAGCACATCCTCTACTATTCTGTTTACTCGTTCAGTTAGGCCATCTGTCTGAGGGTGATTGGCAGTACTAAATGCTAGTTTCGTTCCTAAGCGATCAAACAATTCCTGAAAAAATGCTGCCGTAAATCTTGGATCACGATCACATACAATACTAGAACTCAAACCATGAAGTCGAAATACATGTTGAATATACATGTAGGACTCAGTATAGAGTCCATGCACTATATGATGTCCAGCACCCTATATAG